CGCCCGTGTTGTCCAAGCTGGGGGACACATTCCCACAGGTTCAACGGCGAGTAGTTCCAGCGTGGCTTACTGTGGATCCTGGAGCTCATGTTAAAATGCAAACTGTAATCCGGCAGTTGGATTTTTCTGTCCCAGTTAAGTGCAGTGTGCCAGCTGTATACATCATTTTTTTTCATCTTCTTTGCTAGGCCTTTTCCAGACAGGAGCACCACTCTCAATTGCTGCCAGAAGCATTTATCTTCTTCTGGAATCTCCAGTAGAATAATTCAGACATTCATCCATCCATCTTTCATTGATTACCAGGATGCCACTTAGTACAAGTAAAAAAACGTTTCTAGTGCAAGGCCAAGAAAGGTCCTGTTCATTTCGGGGGGGGGGTTCTTTTTGAAGACCTGTGCCTCCACTTGAGATGAAACAGTTTTACGGGCAGAATTAAGGAAACAGATGAACATGTACAGCGGGCTGAGGCTCCTCAGGAAAAAAAAAAGATGATCAGCGACTAAACAAAATGGATTTCCGAATTACAATAACAAGCGACAACAAAATCTCGGCGCAGCGCAACGATTCTTTTGAGAACTGTCACTATTTATATAAAAAAAAACGCCCGTGGAGGTGATCGGAAATGAAATAGATTTTTTTTACATTTATAACGTTCTCTCGATCGGGTGATGGGCTCGAAATATTTCTCCTGCCGGATGCTTAATTTTTGAAGCCAGCTAATGTAGTGATTGATGTCTCCTCTCCGTTCTGCACCCAGCTGTCGCTAATGCATGTTCAAATTCCGTACCCGGCTGGAAACGGTTTTGACATCAGTTGACATTCTTTCACCTGCTGCTATTATAAACCGCCTAGTGGAAGCTAATAAAATAGCAGCAGAACCAGGCAGTTCTTCAATGGAGACTTCGCAGTAGAGGGGCGTACATGTGCCTTGGGATTCGTATTCTCTCAGGAAATGCACGGTACAATAGACAACACCACACAATGCAGACAGTACATCATAAAGAGAGATAGAAGGTACAGTCAATAAACAACCAGAACAATAAAAACGTGGTAGTGGCCGCCGCACACGTATGTTCTACACCAAAAACGAGCGACAACACGAAAATAACACAAACAGGTGAGCTACACACGAGATGATGGAATGGAACGGCACCATCTTTGTTTTTCAGTTACTGGCGCCCTTGACAAATATTAGACAACTAGCAAGCAAGGGCGCTTGGATCAACAGAACGTCCTTTACGATATGTTCCCCGTTTTAATCCAGGTGCTTTGGGAAAGGACGGTAAGGCTAACCCTCTCATTAAAACTCGAGACCCATCCCGCACAAAAATGTAGTTTGTTTTCTTTTGTTTCTGGTCTTGGCTTTCTTAACCTTTCCGGTAGGCACTGTCAGTGTCTGCAGTTTATGAAATGAGAAGCCATAAGTGCACTATGCAGGTTGCGTGCTATGCAGAGGTCCGGTGCTCTTTTTAGTAATAAGCATGTCTTGTGACTCCTGCGCTGCAGATTCATCGAGACTCCCGGCTCCTGCTGTCTACTGCCCTACAGGACCTAGACGGCTGATTCGCAGTTCAGCAGCCGAACTCCACATCCGCAGCCTTTAAAAAAAAAAAACTAGAGACCAGAAGCCGGGGGGTTGGGTTGGAGAAGTCTGCTCACACTTCCTCCGCGGCCCCTGCGTGCGCGGCTTCAGAGACACGAACGACACACGGTTGTTCCGTGATCAGATGGGCACAACCAAATAATCAATAATAATTAAAGTGAAAGAAAACATCCTCCACACCGGTTCCTAGGGCATTCCCCTAAGAATGAGGTCAGTTATTACAGCTCTGTCAGATTCTAGATCTCTCTCAAGGGGGGAATTTGCTCTGGTTCTCCCATACCGGGGATCAGCCCTGTTGAACAATCATCTGGACTTCAATCGCTCATCCCGGGAGGCAGAAGCATTCAGTTCAGTGCCTCAGGAAACAAAACCCATATCGATCTGGGAGAATCGCATCGCTGGACACGTCCCTGGAGTCCACGTCCCCAGCTTGTTCAGTGACTTAATTTTTTATTGAGTACTGTCGAAACGCTGGGATCAAGAGGGAAGGGGGAGTTCATTTCTCTTCCAATTAATCACTGTCTTTAAAATAAGTTACATCTCAACAGAATCCGAACAGAATGCTCTTTATTCATTAGAGACTGACACACCAGCGTGAGGAGACGTTTAAATTTTCACAAACTCAGCCCCTGTTGCGCTAAACGCATTAATCAGCTTCTGAGCTCGCGACAGTTAAACACTGACAACTCCATTATCCTGGCATTTTACTTCACCTTCAATAAAAGATAGATTAATCTGTGAAATCCGAAGAAATACCAAGTGTCTTCCAACCAGGCCCAATAAGAGACTTATTTCTCTCACTGAGCATTAAGATTCAACTGAAAGCGTTTTCCATCGCCATTGTTCATAACTGTTTACCTTGCTAATACCTTCTGTTCAAAGTCACACTACTTATTTCTGAGGTTATGAATCCGTTGCAGACGTTTTCAGATTTTGTAAACTGGAAGCAAAAACCTGACAGAATGATACATGGAAGCTCTGAATGGCTCCTGTGTGAAGCCCTGTTCATTGACGTAAGGTGAGCTTTAATGGCTCATTAGAATTCATACAGAGAAGCTTCAGTTTATCTGAAAGGCTATTTACTCACTTTCCTGTGGAAAAAGTCACGCATTCATCTGTAAATGGCACTACACAAACTGGAATCAGATGCCAAAACATCACTAAATAGCTGGAATGTAATCAATTATTTTTCTAATCAATCAGTATTCAGCGGATGAACATGCCTTTAGAAATACACGTTTTAATTGCTTTTTCAATAAGGAGGCTCCTGCGCTGAAGACCGTTTTTTTTTTGTGCAAGAAACATTTAGAAGGAGAAATGACTCCTAAACTGGTATCCTCTATGTCAGGAGACTCATTATTAAAGTTGGATGCTTTTTGTGAGAATAAAGCATTTCATGCAGAAGCGATGAATTATTCAGCAGGAAATTTCTTAAACAAGAGGGGGCACTTTTCTTTGTAAGCTCGATCGTCCGGCACTTTGAGTTCATCTTCAAAGAGAAATGAAAACCAAACTAGAAAACACGTCTCCTTTCTTTCAGAAGTGCTCCTGTGGGGCAACAAGCCCTGTGCTCACCCCTCCCTATTTAATATTCTTTTCATATTCTCAAAGTCACTGTAATTAACGAGGAAACATGACAAGAAAGCTTTCATTGTGGTCACGCCCAATAAATACGACAGGTGACCAATTACCCATATTGTAATGAGTCCTGAAAAGTTCATTCATTATTGGTCAGCAGGCTGGGCTCTGCTGGTTCAAGTTCCATCTCTTCCCGAGACCCGGGGTTCATTGCGAATGGACCCGGAGGAAAAAAACCATCCAAGCTGTCACAGAAGAGGCCAGGAGAGAGGGCAGGGCCACTCAGCACCTTGCAGAGGCCTCTGTAACACGACGCGCCGATGGCATGCTCTTTAAAATGATCCACTGCGGAAACGAGAAAGCACAGATCAAAGGTTTATGAAAAGGTCATGCAACCCGCCCGAGACTGTCCGGCTCAGATCGATTTTATCACCGGTTTCCTGTCTAGGTACCCTACTTCAAAACATCCTGTGACACGGCTCAACACAGAGTTACGCTTGAAGAGTGAACGGAAGGTCTAAAAAGAGCCCACACTGAAACCACAAGCAAGAAACAGTATCATAGCGATCAAAGACGTTCAAACTTTCTCACAAGCTTTGAGAATTTGAGTTTAGCTGTTGGACAACTATTCTTTACATAAAGTTAAATAGAGTTACTTTCTGTACACAAAGAGTGGTGGGTCTCTGTAATTGGCTCCCTAGCCAGGTAGTCAAAGCCACTAGCGTTGAGCTCAAGAAATAAATTACAGATTCAATTACCTACTAAAGTACCACAAGGTGACATGGACTGAGTGTCCCCCTTTCATTGACATCCTTTCCAATCTTCTTACGAGTCCTGCTACAGCATTTCTAACACCTGTTCCACACTGGGGGCAATTCTACAAATCACATTTGAAAGAGCATACAATAGCCGACTTCAAAAGAGAAAATAATGCTCCAAACCTTCATAAAAACAGTACATAGACAACTAATGACCTTTCTTCCACAAAACGCAGCCCCCAGATTTCTTTCCAGGCGGAAAAGGCTTTGCTGAGGCTGCTTTGCTTCAGCGGCTGGCTCTGCATTTTAAACTTGTATATTCCTGGAAGTCATGGCTCTCTGAATAACTAAAATGTACCGTAAAGCTGGCCTGCTCTTTTCTATTTCAATCAAAATCCTTTCTATATGTTAATAAACTCTGCTGTCACTGCAGAACGCCACACACATTAGTTTCTGACAAAAGGGTGTCAGACTAGTTTTCATTTTCCATGTGGCATTAACCCTGCAGAGCCACCCCACCTCCCTTCCCAGCAGAAACAAGCCCCAAAGACACCAGCTTCCCAGTAAGGCCCGGATGCCATTAATTCTCAACCAGCAATCGCAGGCAGGAACAGGAACCGTGACTGATTCATCACTGCACAGGCATCTGCACTACCTTTCAGGAGCAGGAGACAGAGCAAAAAAAAAAAAAAAGCAGCAGAATAATCTAATTTTTTTCTGCTTAACACTGAAAAATGCTGAAAACCAAGAGCATAAGGCTAACTTTATTAATACAAACTGTAATAAACTGCTTAAATAAATTTCCATCATGTCTGCCCCCCCCCTTAACCCCATCAATGAAGAAAGCTCAGAAGGTCAGCCAGGCTAATCCTTGAAACAGAAGCTCTGTGCAGGCAAGAAAACAAATCTTCCTTTGGCGTCGCTGTGGAGGATTACAGAGTTTCTAAAATCCTTAACAGGACAGAGGGGGAATCTGCTTCAAAGGCGAATCCAGTCCCAAACTGAATAAGGACTGAGCAAAAATTTAAAAAAAAAATAAAAAGCAATGTAATAGACTAACATCATTCTTAATAGTAATTTATTACATATTTACTAGGGCGACTTGCATAGCAACAGAAATTGCCAGAGCTGGATAGGAATGCGTCTCAAAAGACAACGGCCAAAATACAAACATTTTTTCCAACATCCAGCCCTTTTGAGTTCGTTTGACGGAATGGCAGGCGTGACGTCAGTCTCCCATCACAAGCTGTAGCCCCCTGCAGCACGCAACTGCACAGAGAACCGCCGTCATGCCTCCTCCCTCCCCTGGGGGGCGCTGGAGCACGGCTGCAGCACCTGCCGTCGCAGGCAGTCCAGCCGCCCCACCTGCAGCGCCTCCCGCAGGGCCTGGAAGAAGCGGCTGTAGTGGTGGAGATTGTGGAGCATGAGGAGCACGCCGGCCAGCAGCTCGTTGGTGACCAGGAGGTGGTGGACGTAGGCGCGGGAGTGACTCCTGCAGCAGTAGCAGGAGCAGCCTGGCCTCACGGGGTTCAGGTCCTCCCGGTACCTGAGCACACGGCAGCCATCGATTAGCGCTCCACATCCGCACGGCCCTCCCCTCCCACGCGTGGTACCCTAACAAAGACACTCCCCCTGGAGGAGGACGGGATTCGGTAGGCGAGGGGGGAGAGAGAGGGACTCTGTTGCCGTCAGAGAAGAAACCGCAGACTTTCAGGCCCACAGCAACACGGGGGAGGCAGGAAAACGGAAGCCGAGAGCGAGAGACAAGAGACAACCTCCATATCTCAGGAGCTCAGCTGGTCCACAATTTTCAAAACCTGCTCCAGACAACCCGGATTCTCTTTAAATGTTACAGACAATGGGTTTTGAAGTCTGCTTCCCCGCTGATGAGAATCAGCTCCCACGGTCGGTCCATATCACTCAGTAGGGTGGGCATGAGGCCTACAGCCCCCCAGCCAGGCCGGGACCCTCACCCTGCAGAGTTATGGATCTCAGGTCCTCTCTCTCTGTTGCCCATAGCTGGCTGACAGAGGCTTAATAAAAGGTGCTTGTATGCCAAACCTGGCTTTGTCCGATTTATTTTCCTGGAGAACCCGAATTCGCTACAATGCGGTGGAGCGGTGGCTCTGTGGCTCAGTATCTGCGCCTGTGGCTGGAAGGTTGCCGGTTCGAATCCCGCGGCCGGCAGAGGAATCCTACTCCGTTGGGCCCCTGAGCAAGGCCCTTAACCCCAACTGCTCCAGGGGCGCCGTATAAATGGCTGAACCTGCGCTCTGACCCCCAGCTTCTCTCCCTCTCTGTGTGTCTCAAGGAGAGCAAGCAGGAGTATGCAAAAAGACAAATTCCTAATGCAAGAAATTGTATATGGCCAATAAAGTGATCTTATCTCCTTATGCTACCCTCTGTCCCGTTTCAGGGGGATGCGCCCGCTCTCCCCCGAGGGCTCACCTGGTGTCTCTCAGGTTCATCTCGAAGGGCGACCCCGGTCCCCGCCCCTCAGCGTCGCCTTCCCGCGTGCCGGCCTCCTCCTCGGTCTTCAGCGCGCCATCTCTCTCCAGCACTGCGGGAAAGCGAAAGGTCCCAGCCGGGCCTCAGTACAGAATGACGGGCAGGTATCTCTGAGCCCCCCATCCCGACTGCCAATTTTATGCAATGGTGACAGTCGCTTTGAAGTGGTTCTGCCCCCCCTGCCCAGCTCCCGGGAGGCACCAAGCGACTTTGTCCCAGTCATGATTTGACAAGCCTTTGATCCCTGCGAGCAGTACTATCCCTTAGTGAGCACAAAACAGTGCCCCTCTCTATTAATGTGGAGCAGGAAGGGGCTGATCAAGAACTCCTTGTGGCTTCTGCCACCACTCTTGTCTAAACGGGAGTCTATTCTCAATCTGGCGCCTATTTCTTTCGAGATATAAACCCCTGAGATTTATTGTTGGGTGAAGTCATCAGTTTTGCAAAGGGCAGCATACTGTGTGATCCAGAGGCCGCGACACAAAAACATCAGGGGAAAAACTGAAAGCACGGGAAACGATCTTCTTGAAGTTGAAAGGACTAGAACTGAAGGACAATAAATGTTAAGAATTAAAGCATCTATAGTAGGTTTCTGGGAAATTGTCAAATTCCTAACTGTCTATTCTATTCTAGGTTTTAACTTTCCTCTGTTCCTCAGGGCTTCTCTGTCCCTCGCCTTGAGGTTTTTTTCTGTGCATCCGAGACAAGCTGGTCTGGTTCATTCTGTCATGTTGACAGAGGCTGATCATGTTTTCCCTCTCTCTCGGAGTCACAATGAATCACTCCCTTTTTACCTCAGTTTCCCCATTAGCAGATGACGAGTCAGGTGTCTGAGGATTTTGTCCAAAGTAATTGACATCTGTTCCCCTTTCTTGTTGAACTGGGCATGTTACTGGATCTCCAGGGAAGCACCTTGATCAATGCTACAACAGCAGTGTCTCACCTGGGATAAAAAACCCTCTATAACCCACAGGAGTCCAGTGCTCTTGCCACTGCTGCCCAATAATTATGTTTAATTACATAGCTGAAGAACTACACTGCAGCCATCTTTCTAATTACTCAGCAAAATTCAGAATGCAGCTGGAGTTGCCACCCTACCGGTGCTCTCACGGCAGACGCCAATGAATCAAAATTTCATTAGCGCGTCTTTTTTTATGATCCAGAAACGAACGCCGGAGTAATTGATGACTGACGTCAGGAAATAATGCAGGGGGGCCTGCGTTGCTTCTTCCCTCAGAGCTGGATTGAACAGAAGCTGAAAACGCACTTGGACAGTCGACGGCGTAGAAAGAGCAGTCAGGAAGAACAGGTCGGACTGCGACGAACACTCCTGGGCCTCGAAAGGACACCTCTGCGGCCATCCGGCACGCACATCAGGCACGGCCAGTTAACCCTGGAAATCCCACGCAGGCAAAAATATTACCAAATACCCCGAGCACGCCGGCGAGCGTTTTTCACGACGGCATCAACATGCCTCCCCCGAATGAAGGGAGAGCCCCGTCGAGCCGCAGTGCTCCCGCACAAATCTAAATGCAAAGCCTTCCATCCTCCGGTACACGCCAGCTGCAGGTCAGAGGCTGGAATAAACTATAGGACCACGTAGTGTAAAAGAATGGCAGCTCTGTGTTTCAGGGCCTGTTCCAGCGGAAGGCTCACAGCCTGCTCCTGCGCTCCGGGGAGCCGGTCCTCCTGGCCCAGAGTGCCGGCGCAGACGGCCGTGAAGAGCTCTGCACGCAAAGAGGGGGGCGTGTGGGTGGGGATCCCCAGTTAACAGCAGCGCTGACCAAGGTCATAAGGATAAGCGTCCGGCTGCCGGATGAGAGGATAGTGACAGAGGAGATTCACCCTGTGCCCAATCAGGGAAACTTATTTAGAATACAAAGGAATATTTACAAAGGCTACTCACCTGGCAGCTGGTCAGTAATATTTATAAAGGGCTATTTAACCTGGCAGCTGTGGATAACGGGCATACATAACGTCATGTGTGTCATTCAGGTGTCATAACGTTATGACACCCGAAGAAGGCTCCACGGCCGAAACGTTGTGTTCTCTTTCTTCTTTTTTTCAGCATGGAATAAACCTATTACTTGTTCCCATACATAACGTTAATTCACTTGTTTTTCCCAGCTGGGTGAACATCCGTTATAAATATTCCCTTCTGGCACCCTGGAGAATATCGTCCTCATCTCCATTTACCAGGCAAGCGGGTCAAACAGAGATAAATGCCATAAATGCAGAGTCTATGCCTACCACAGCTGTGAGCGTTAAAAAGCACATGGAAGTTATTTAATATTAATTCTTGCCCGGAAAACGTCAAACCAGACAACTGGCTTCCAGGGCAACAGATGCCCAGGAGCAAAAACAAAAACCTACGACAGAAGCAGGTAGGCTGGGAATTGTTAGAGATGTGAAGCAAGAAAGCCAGGAAACAACTGGGGCCACTGTGACCACGCCCCTCTCCCTGAGGCTGTGCTCTAATTGGCTCAGAAAGGATTCCAGAGTCTCCGCCCACACAGCACATGCCTTGTTCTCACAGAGAAGGACAGGGGCTGAACGGGGCTCTCCCTTCATTGAGCCCAGACCCAGGGGACAACCAGAGCTGTACTTTAAGGCAGTTTAAGTAACGGCAGGCGTTAATTAGAGCGACGTGTTGTTTCATTCCTAAACGACGAGACTCTTTCTAACTAAGAAGCCTGAAGACTTATTTCTTTGGCTGGTACTACAAAAAAAAAATGAGCCACTGCTTGCCAGGTGCTTCTCCTCCAGGGGGCACATGTGTGGAGCACGGGGCTCAGGTGCAACAGGAGGAGATACAAACCCACGACTGACCAGAGAAGGATGGAGGAAGGCATGGGGGTCTAAACACTGCCCAGGGAAGGTCCGAGGTTGGGTCAGAGAAACTGAGAGATCACCAGATAAACACCTCATCCTTTATTCTGCAGCTATCATACTACAGTGGCACCAACATGTTGTAAAATGTGCATGCAGGGAGGCAGTTTGCTGGTGGGGGTAGTGAAAGACAGCTGAACTTCCTCTACAGCAGCTGCAGCGAATACAGCTGTAGGATTTCACATTCCTGTGTCCCGAGAGTTCTACAATGACAGCGGTCAATGACGTCAGAACGCCATTTCACGAGCTTGTGACTCTCTAGCAGTCGTGGTTTCAACAGGATTGGCAGGAAGAATGTTTCGGCAATTCGGCCACCAGCATCCTGTACATGACAGGAAGTGACAGGCGCCGCTGTCAGTGGATTGCTACAGTGAGGGCAGTCACCAACAGCGATATTAACCTGGGAGCTGGAACGAGAAGGTCGTTCTAATCCAGCCTGACAGCTGGAACAGCAGGACAGGTGCCGGACACCTGGGACTGACTCCTTCACTCAGCAATAATCAGACATCCTCAACACCGGGAGGAGACTCTGTCTTGGCAGTAGAAAAGCAAAATAATCAAACTGCTTCAGGGAACAGACAAGTGATAAAAAATTAAGCATCGAAGGACCAAGGGCTTTTCAAATCAATAATGATTTAGACATCAGTAGGCCTGCAATAAATTTAAACTCAAACAGAGCCTACTGCACAGGGAAGCCTGAATGCCTTGACAGCATTAGCATGTTATACATTAAAAGTCCTTCTTACTGCGTATAATATTTTCACTCAGTAAAAAAAAAAGTTCAACATGGACGCAGACCTGTCTGGCGTGCAGTACCTTCTCTCTCCGGGTCGGGCTGGAAGTCGTAGCTGAAGCTGAGGGCACAGCCGCGCTCGGTCACCTCGTACGGGAAGAAGCCCTCGAAGAGGTCAACGCCAGCCCGGACACAGTCCAGCACCTCGTCTGGGCGGCCCACCCCCTGCAGCAGCCTGTAACACACACAACCCAGAGACATGGGCACACCCACACGGCACATCAGTATAACCTACAAGGTACACACATATAACCACACCCACACAATCTACCTCTATTGCCACACCCACACGACACACCCATATAGCCACACCCACACGACACACCCTAAAGACATGCCCACTTGGACACATAGAGGTCAAACATGGCCAGGCAGCCTGCTAGACAAAACCAAGCCTGATTAAACCCTTTTCCTGAGCAAGGGAGACTTCTGCTACACAGTGCTCTTTCAGGACAGCTGCCTTTACCAGTCTGAACTAAAGCCATTCTTTTTAGTTAATGAGGCTATTAAATGAAATTGTGAGCTCAGTGAACATGATACGCCAGGGGAAAGCAGGAACACAATGTACCTCAGTGGAATTATAGCTCCGAAAACACGGTAGAAGGCACTACAACCCTTGTGCCTTTCCAGCAAATTAAAGCAGATCTTCAAGAACACTGTGTGTCAGTATTTGCAACCTTGCAAAATAACAGCTGCACTCAAAGCCCAACTTGAAAGGCCTCCGACATAAAAGGGTAGAGACTAAAATATCTGTAACTCTACAGCATGACGGTTACCTTTGTGTCAAGGCTGAGCAAATAATATCACAGACCACCGCACAGAGAAACATCCGGTAGATCGTTTTTCATGCGGTGCAATATTGTATAGAAAAAATGTGGTATGAAAAAAACCGATTACACTCAACACTGTACTGCTGTTCTAAACAAAATGGAGAACTGTGGAGGCATTCTACATGGGAAGGTGAAAATGATGCAACCAGCTACAAAGGAAATACTACGGGTGCATGCGAGGATGACGAGTGTTAAATGCTCCTATCCTGTGCAAAGTTGACCTCTGTGAAGAACAATTAAAGACTTCAGGAATGCAAATGCAATTTATCCCCTGCTGCTGCCATCAGCATGCAATCAAGCACTTCAGTGTACATGGCTATTAATTCAACCCATCTATAAAATGATGCACAGGAATAGTTTCTGTACCCAACCTTACAAAATGAATGGTCCTACCAGGAGCAGATTTCACCCCTTTCTCTTGTATGTAATGAATCAATTCCATTTTAGCCATCTAAAGAAAGACCGCTTCATTATTTTCACTGGCTGCTCTCTGCACATTCCCAAAGCAAAACTGCTACTTTTCAGTTTGCAAAATACAGGTTCATGAGGATGAACTCTTCCACCATTTTCAGCAGAAGACTGCCCAATAATTGATTCTGCATGACAGAAAAACACCAAGAACCTACTACCCCTTCCAGTAAATGGGTACTGGCAGGCCCTCTCTGCAGGCTTCCTGAAGTGTGACCCCAGAACCTGCACATGAGTTTGACTGCTGCACCCGGGTCACACCCAGCAGAGGTCAGTTCCTCTCTGCCACACTCCAGAGACCCATGGGCCAATGAATAATGTCTGATAATAGAGCTCTGTGAGTTCTCTCTGACCTTAAAACAAAATCAATTATCCCCCAGTCCAGGCTCCATTAAAACCCTCAGCACTCCGATTCTGATAATGAGTCGACAATGGTAACCTTTATCCTCTTCACTTAACCACCTTCACCCCAGCGAGGGGAAGCAGTTAATAGGCACTAATGGGAGTCAGCTCTCCAATATCTCCCTGCTCGGCAGGACAGGTGACAACCCCGGAGACCACTCTACAGATTAACCCTCCTGGAGGCTTTAAAAGCAGCTTAGCGACTTGCCAGGTTTCCTGGGATGCCAGCTGTGATAATACCATAAACACAGCACACAGTTTTTAACATGCATTGCAAAATAAAAGAAAAGCATCTTTCTTTGGCCAGTATTTATCTCGCACAGACCTCCAAAAGAACCACATTTAACAGAAGAAGATAATGAGCAGGAAGGTTGAGAAAGTCAGTTTCTTTCAGCGACCGACATGCAATAAGAACATCTTGATTGAAGCCGAGGGGTCCCTCATTACAAGACAATGGAATAAAAAGAGGATCTGACCTAAGTGCATCGTTATTAACACAATAAATAATCCGCCACCCAGTACTCGTCTGACGAGTGTTGTGAAGACGCAGGCAGTAGTCGCTGTACCTCGGCTTGTCATCCGGGAGCTCGGCAGTCACCGCAAGGAGCAGCGCGTGACGGACCCCTGCACTCATGGCGCACGGCTGGAACCCGTCCAGAACGAAGCCGGCCACGGGCCTCTTGGCTGTCTCCCTGGCTGAGCGGACCCTCTCCTCAAGGATGTCTCCGCCTTCCACAACTCCCAGAATCTCAGCTTTGCTCAACTCCTGTAAAACAGGCAAAACCCAGGCGCAGAGAATGGTTACTTACCAGCCTAGGGCAGGATGTAAACCTGCAGCCCCCTGCATCACACACACACAATGCTTTGGGGAAGGAAAAAAAGTCAGTAATCAGTACTGTTTGTGTTAATATGTGCTCATGGATACACAGTATCAGTACAGTCACTGTGGTTACAACACCACTACTTTCAGCACATCTCCAACACTCATATCTCAGAAGACTGGTATGCACTTGAATTAAAAAAAAACATTAAATAGCACAGTCAGTAGTACTGGGATACTTACTGAATAAATCTAATGAAGAAGAAACTAAGAAGCTCTGTAACATTTATGCAATTCTGATAAGGATGTGAATGGAATTAAACTGTCTTTAAACCAGCTTGTCTAGATCTATTGACACAGCTCAGGGAAGGTCAAACAGTGCTTCCTGCACGCCAGATAAGCACAGCCCTGGGGTGACTGCAAGCGTGGATGGGCTGAGCTCATGGTGCCCCCTGTACCTCGCTCCTGTGGTGCAGCTGAAGGCATTCGTCCAGAAAGGCCAGGCTGCGGTCCACGGCCTTCCTCGCCCTCTTTCTGGAGGTGCCCGGCTGCCGCGTGTCCCCGTCCGCCATGCTGTGGTACCAGTCCGGCTTCACAGCAGCCTGCAGCGCCATGAACCGCGAGGGCGTCAGCTCAATCCGGCCCCCACTACCCCACACGGACACCGTCTACAGGGGCACAGGCACGGCAACCCGCATGTCAGGTGGGCACGCCCACTTGCCAAAACAAGGACTTCGGTATATACCGTACATTGTTTCCCCGCTCAGAATGAATTCACACCACTGGGCCCTGCCTGTTCAAACCTGTCCTGAGCTTGAGCTTGCTCACACAGGTGAATTCTGACACGCTTGTGTAAAGAACTCAGGCTCCAAGCCCGAGCCCCATTCAGCAGGCAGCAGTCTGCACTCACTATGCATGGCAATAAAAGAAAAAAATGAAGAACAATACCTGAAATAACATGATTTTTTATTAGCATCACTTGCTGACGGGTTCTCATTACTGCAGAGGCATTTTATAGAACTGTCTGGACAAGACTGTCTATTAAGTAACTTTTATTCAAGGAACAAAACTCTTCTCTAAGTGGCAATAAGGCCCCTAGTTTAATAAGAAGGAATCTTAAAAAATGATCATTACATGAGTCATCCTGCAAAGCTCTGTAGCCTACAACACACTTTTAATCTGTTTCCAGGAGTGACCATCGTGACAAGGATCAAGTCAGTGTGAAAATGACTTACCTTGTTGGTTACATAACCCGCAGGGCAGGGAGCAGCAGGGTCATGAAGAGAGCAATACAGCACTGTGTCGTGCAAGCCTGAGTTGCAGAAAGACATCAAGACAATTGGGTCAGAAACAGAGATGCTTTGCTTTGTAACAAAATAATGCTGTGTGCGCAAATGTCGATCACAGAAGATGATTGAACCTTGCAAGTCCTACCTTCTTCAGACTCACAAAGCATAATCTGGAACCTGGAGGCATTCTTCAGGACAGAAAACCAACCTTTTCTATTCTTTCTTATTGCAAGATTAGGGACCGTTTTTTGTTTTTATGGAAAGGAGTATTGCCAAGATAAATTTTGCTGGTGCAAACACTGTGATAGTATGGCAAGATGCATTTCCATACTTTAGAAATTTGCTAAGTTAGTCATCTTTTTAGTACATGATTTGTCGTTCTTTATAGGTTTTGTGTGTTGCTGATTATGTTAGTATATTTCATAACTTGTAATTGCAATGTTTTTTTATGTTGAGGTGAAGATTCCTTTTACCTGCGAACTTCCTGGCTCCTTCTTTTAACTCTTCCAACACTTCCTGGTGTTCTGCCCTTCATAAAGGAAACAAACAAAGTGACATCGCAACTCCAGCAGTGCTAAAAATGAAGACTCAATAACATCTCTGCTATTCAACATTCTACATGAACGCGAGACAGAACTGGGACCTGTGTCACATGGCAGGGAATGAGAGAGATAATATGCCATCTCGTATTACATTAGCCATGACGAAACATCATGGGCAATTAAAGTAGCTTCCTCCTTCCCATGAAATGCTGACCAGTAGTGATGTAATATGCAGTACAACACAGATTTGTACAGAATTCCCCTTTACAGAAACTGGAATCTTCCATTTCTTATGGGAATGCTCGCTGTGTGAAGGCCTGCTGGCTTATCTCTGGGTGCTGTTCACAAATTCAGGATCTGATGCCCGTGAAACATATAAAATATTTTTCCCAGCCCCTCCTCCCCAGTGTTTTCCCCCAGTGGGTTTCCAGACACTAGAAAGTCAACAGCAGTTTTGCGCAGGCTGCCCGCGAGAGGGCCTGTCGTGGATGTACAGCGGACACAGAGGGAGGTGCTCTCACAGGCTGGCGAGAGTCAGCTGGGTGGCGTCGGGGAGGGAGTCCAGCGTGCGGAGGGTGTCGTGGGTCAGGTGGGGGACCGATCCGCAGCGCGTGGGCAGCAGGCAGCCGGGCACCTCCACACTCCTGTCTCCGTTCCTGCCCAGCTGGGACAGGACCCCCAGGCGACAGCCCTGCACCACTCGGGAGACGTCCAGTTTCATCACGCAGGCCGACTACACGAGGGCACCTGCTGCAGAGACAGCCACGTTCAGACACGGGAGACACTGCCGTAACTTCACACAGCTGTGCTCCAACAAGCGATCCCGCACCATCACAGCGCCGACTAATAGACTTAGAAAGAGCATCTACAGCACATCGCATCCTTAGCTGTTAACTGTGCCATTGCTCCAACACACATCTGCACTCTGGCTTTCTACTATGTGTTTATTGTTCCGTTTGTACTTATTGCCCTGTTTGTCTATACATACTGTCACTATTAATTATTTCCTGTTTTGAAGCATTGCGTTGTCTGCTGTACTTTGTACAGTGGGACAACGGCGCAAACAAGAATCACACTGTACGTGTGGCAGCTAAACTCCTCTACACCGCACAGCAGGAATCACAGGGACCGCTTCCTGGCCACCCAGAAACAGCTGATGAAAGCGGTGCAGACAGAGTGTAGAAGGCTGTTTTACACATGAAGGTTTCTCAGTAATGAAGGTAAGAGGCTGCAGGGAAAATCTAACGTTTGTGGTTTCGTTAGCGAGCCCATTGTGGCTATCTGAAATAAACATCAGTGCTTAAATGCAACGCCTTCTACTCTGTAGAGCATGGTCTGTTATTTTCCCGTTTAAATCACATTTCACATGTTCACCTTCCTGTTAAACCTCAATATCCAATATCCATAACTACAACTATTAGTTTTAGTAAACAGTAAAGTGTAGCAGTTCACTTCATACACAAACATTACAGAAGACAAAGGAAAGCACAGTATCCCATAGTGCGCTGCAAGAAAAAAAATAAAATAAAAACGTACTCTTTCCTTTTTGCTGCAACCCGCTGGTCCAAAAAGTCCAAACACCAATTATACTTTTTTGTAGGGAGTCGAAATTATCATAAAATAGCACTGCTTGGTACTTTTCTCTACTTAAGGGAGGATATTATCATTCAGACTAATACTGTCAAAAGTCTGCTAAAAATGTGTTGAATAAAATGCCACAAAAGCCTGTAAATTCGAAGTAATACACTGGTCCAAGAAGTATACACACAACAGCGTGACTGTCCACTGTTTCAATGACAGATCAATAAAAGTAAGCAATCGTGGATAAAAACAGAGCAAAACATGCAGCACACAAGAGAGTTTCTTCTTTCAGAGTATTAAAGTCACAAATCAACCCAAACTCCCCGGTATTCATTTAAAAGCCACACGTTTTATTCACATTTGCTTACCTACACTTCAACCATAAACCTCACCGTCGCAGTTTTATGACCACACCGCTGCATACGTCATCACCACGGGCGCTAGACTCGCCATGTGGGTCCCTGCTCCTAGCAGTAACAGATAGCATCTGCTGCAGGTACCCATCAGAGATACATATGTAAAAGAAAATATGATACTATATAAGTATTATAAATCGATACGGTTTCTGTTTAGATATAGAAATACTGGTTATCTTGTTTGGAAAGGACTTGTATAGTCACGAATAATGTGACAGTTTTTGATAAAACACACAAAACCGTCATCTCCAGGAAAGAAGTGCTACACCCTTTGAAGAGGACCGAAAAAACAATTCAACAATAAAGTGTACATCGAAGTTTAAAATTAGAAAGTGTAAAGAGACACTACAGATCTCTTCAAACACAATTGCACACAAGTACCAGCATTTTAAATGTTTTAATTTAAATGCAGGATATATAAAGGAATGAGCATATATTTTAACACTTTAAACGTGTTTAAAATTGCCGATGTAATATATCAGGAAATTATTCCAGTAATCCCATTATCGCTCACTCGCATAATTTCACATCAAGCCGATACAAATGCGTGCTTGTGAGTTTTATTATTACAGTACATATGATATTTCGTTGTACAGTACATTCAGTCTAATGAAGGCATTGACCTTTTCAGTATGAATCATGTCAACGTAGCGGATCCCAGCGTAGCAGAAATAACAACGAAAGACGCAGCAGATGGTACAAGTGGAAACTTTGCTGAAAATACAATTAAAACTGAGAACAGGAAGCACTTTTTATGTAAACAGCTATCTGGCTATGTTGTTGAAGCCTGTACCCCGGCTTCTTTCAAGAAGCACATTGGATCCCAAACACAGTTGACTGAGAGTTGGTTTGCGAAGGTACCCAGGGGTTCCTGCTTTAATTTCTTGGCTAATATATACCTAAATCATTCTGCAAACTAAGAGAACAGACAACGGCAGCTGTCTTGGCGTTCAATTCCACTGTGGGCAGCTGTACGTTACTATAGTTACCAACTGACGCTTCTGGAGGGGCCCAGCAGGATCATGGGACTTGTAGTTTATGTGAAGGTTTACGCACGCTTGATCTAAAGGAACCAGGTTGACTAATTAACTACAGTACCCGTTAGCCCCCTGACCCGAGAAAGTAAGAAAAACAGGGTATCTCATCCATAGGCACAACATGATGTGATATGGTCGACAGTTTATTTCGTCGTTGCTCCTGAAATATGAAAATGTTTCCGAACTCTGCTAGCAAGTTCTAAGGGTACATAATTGGCGCACAAAAGTAGTACAGTATTATGTGCTTGGAAAACCGAAGAATACTAATGAATAACGTGGGGCACAACCCGGAGCTCTTTCGATGGAAGAGACTCACGAAGTCCAAGACGCCAGTACAAAAGGTAACTCCCAGAGTGTCTTCTCTCTGACTGCACCGTCCTATTACAGCGCATAACCCTATGATTTTTGTCATTGCGTATACGCAATAGTGAGACGCGAAACTTTCTGACGCAAAAATATTTTCAATTACCACATGAACACGGTACCATCGGAGGATGATTATTACGGCCTGGATTATAAATAATAATAATCTCCCATCTAAAGTAAAAAAAAAAAACAGTTTCCCGAGACTCGATTTTACCTGGAAAAATATTTAAAATACGTTTATAAGAAAGACTTTGTTGTACCAGTCACCTGTATGTATACACACCAAAGTGTTATCTCCAGACTTTTCGTAAACTCTATAATAATTTATATGAGGTTGGTAACCTTTGATAAAATAGAAGTTTCCCCTCTTGTTGACTTTATTCACCCCGTGTTTGGGAAAGGCTTAGACTCAAAGAATCGTAACAAAAACCAGCACAATTTCTCGAGATTAAGTAATACTTCATACAGAGGCCGGGAGATAAAAATCACTTTTATAACCCTCAAGTGCGTTGCCTGACTCTTATGGGGAAACCTTGGGTTTCATTGACACCCAAGGTATTTTTTCATTTCTGCAAAAGCATAAAAAGTAATTTGGAATCACAGACAAAAAGATGGTAATCTAGAAAAAAATTATCATCGTCATCTCATAAAACGCCATGGATAGATTTGTTTCCGGAGAAAAAAATAGCCTGAGTGAAAAGTAAAAAAAAAATTATACTTTTACATTTAGAAACAGTCTATGCAATATATTTTTTGTCAGATATCGTCATCATCACTACAAAACAAAGCATGTCTGGTTGCACCATGTGTCAATAATATATTATTTTCTTTTCACAAAAATGTTTAGGTGCAGTTAAAGAATGATGACATTGATCACTGGATGAAGGTGAGGATTGATGGAAGGGCAACTGTTATGTTTGAATCTGAATTGATTGTGTAAACCTTTCTTTAAAAAAAATTGTATTGCATTCAACCTGAATGATGCAGCCAGCATTTTTTTTCCGGTGCTACACTGTGTGATATTTACAGCGATGTGTAAGTATTGTATGTTTGATTTCTAATAATGAAACCTCTTCTTGCTACCATCAAGCTGTTGTGACAGAATAAGGAAATGGTAGTCAGTTTTTCCAGTGAGCCCAGATGGTTACACACCTGTGTTTTTCTGCAGAGGGTTGAAGCTGCCTCAGAATTTGCTGTGTCGGAAGTATTTTCGCTGCATAAGCCTGTTGGGAATTCGAAGATTAGAGGTCATGCAATGGCATTGGAGAGCACAGAGCAACTGCAAGATCATGATGATGCATTCAGTGAAGGTGGGGGGCTTATCCTTCTTGAGGGGCATGTGACTGTACAGTTAAGGACATAAATACAATCAGCAGTACATATAACATCAGCAGTACTGTACTGAGGGAGGCATTTTCTCTAAATCATGCTATAAGAAGTGTAAAGACAAACTTTTATAACAAGTAAAATACTTCCATCCATTTTCTAACTGCTTCTTAATCAGGGTCGCTTGGGAACAGGAGCCTATCCTGGCATGCACACGTAAAATTTATGCAAAGCTTTTAAATTTGCTTTTAATTTGATATTTTTAATTTGATAAGTGCAGTATGTCTGCGTACTGATCCGAGCAGACCTCGGTGACGTGTGATTTCTCTCCCAGCCCAGACCTTGCTGAGCGAGTGGGTGAACAGCAAGCTCAGGCTGGAACTGGAGACAGAAGATGAAGATGGGCTGGGGCACGTGTGTGAGACAGACCGTTCAGAACCAGCTCCACGTGTCCAGGACGGCCCAGATTTCCTACGCTATGACAACTTCGATGGTACAGCAAGAGAGAGATGCACGTTGCGAACTGTGTTCAAATACCTTCACAGCTCATTAAAGGAAGTACTCCTTTTGGTCACTGTGATTTTGACTGTGAGACATTAGGAGCTCACAGCAGGTTCTAGAAAATATAGTGCTGCTTATTTTGAAGCCGAAATAATGATGACAGTTGTTGGCATCCAGGCTGAGATAGAATTTAAGATGATTATATATGTATGCTTATAAGACATGCTCTATTTATCAAACTATGCAACAGACCTTCCTCTAAAAGAGCGCACACTTGAATCAGAAACTGTGTCTCACCAGCCTGTGTCTCTCTCCTTCAGACCTCTATTCCCATTTGGAGCAGGAGGCAGAGAGTTCCGCTGTGCACAGCTTTCTGCAAGATCTCATGGAGAAGGAAGTAGTGGAGTCTGGGGTAATGGATGACCTCAGAATGGACACGGAAAGGAAGCGCCGGAGCGATCCAAGAGTCACCATGGAGGTTAGACACCAGCAGGTTAGTGATGGATTAACATACATATGGAAGTTATTGCTTTAAAAAGGAAGAATGCACAGGCGACCCATGTGACTTATATATTGTTTTGAGGGTCTTATTATATTATTGTCCTCTGATCACCAACAGAGTTCTGCACCAGATGTGCACAAGGCTTGTAGTCAGAGTCCCCGCTCACAGAAAAAAATGTATGGAATCACATGTGCACAGACTCGGAGACACACTCAGTGACACTAACAGACACACTGACAGACACACACACCAGTCACACTCAGAGACATTGTCGGACACACTAAGAGACACTGACAGGCGCACAGACACACTGACAAACACACTCACGGACACTCACGGACACTCACGGACACTCACGGACACTCACGGACACTCACGGACACTCACACAGGCACACACACAGACACACACACAGACGCACTGACAGGCACACACACAGACACACTGACAGGCACACACACAGGCACACTGACAGGCACACACACAGGCACACTGACAGGCACACTGACAGGCACACTGACAGGCACAC